TAAAACTGTACAAATATGTATACATTTTACATTTAAGACATTAAAAAAAATACTTTGTAAATATGTTCCACACGGAAATCCTAAAGTCACATCGTTTTAGCTTCATCCGGTTCAGATGCTGTAAAAAAAAAAAAAATTTTTTTCGGTATCCAGTTATTAATTTGCCAGTCAAAACATAATCAACAGATCAGGCCTACACGGTGTTGGTCTTAAATCAAGTAGAAAGGACTGAGCTTTTCACATGTTGATGTTAGAGATATTCTTTTAGATGCGTCCTTTGCTACAAATGATCAAGTGTGCGCCGAAGGAATGTGGTTATTGCATTTCAGGCAGTAACGTTTTTATTTTCTTACTGAAAAAATAAACTGAATTATTTATTTGCATCTTTTAATGTATTTCTAATATTTTTTTAAAAAAAGGATAAAGTTGCTACATGAAAAATCTGCAGAATTGCCAATTATTTTTTCCGATTAATCGTCAGATGAATTGATAACTAAAACGAACGTTAGATGCAGCCCTAATTAAAATAACTTTTGGTGCTTTTGTTGAGCTGCGGTGACCTTGGTAATGCGGCGAGAAGGTCATGCAGTCAACGTTCACTAATAGACCTGTGAGGAAAATCTGACCCATTTAGATAGACGTCAAAGCCTATCTAAGCCTGTTGTGCGTGGGGCTGTGGATCAGTCAGGGGGCTCCTGCTGACCCCCAGCCATGAAAACAAAGAATGGGCAAGTGAACTTCAGAACTGGACCACGGCGCGATGAACGAAGGTGGCCTGACCTGATTCCTCACGTGTTTTTTATCACTCTGACGGCGGGGTGTGTGTTTGGGTAAATCGTGACACCTGGAGGCGCTATGGGGAAGAAGATAAGTAAACAGAGGCAGTTTGACGCTGGAGCAATGTTCTCTTGAGAAACCTGGAGCCCACCCACTCACATGGATGTCACTTCAACACATAGCCTCTACATAAGTAACCCTGTTTCATTTAATCCCTGTTGGCTGTGGCGTTTTTCAGCCGGATATCGCTCCCTACCACAAAGCAAACATGATTCAGGAGCACAAGTTTGGACAGGCTGTCCTTCAGGGTAAACGTGACATAGACAGCGCTGATTACAGTGAAGGAGGAGCTGCTGCCGTATTTATTAACAACAGGGCAACAATCTGAACTTCTCCTAAAACAGCCGGTGAAATGCATCCTGAAGCTGAAGCTCCTGGACGGTTTATATTCAGAGTCCATCTGTGCTTTTTGCTTGGTAAACAGTAATTGCTATGTAGGTCCTCGTTTCATGTCCACTGCCGGCCGGGCCAAGATCCAGTTTTTTATGGCCTTTTGCAGAAACAAAGTGGGTGAATTAAATGAATGAAAGGATTTGACAGCTTGTCGCAGAGCAGAAATATCACCCTCCCTGGGATCTGACACATTTCTAAATTTAGTGCTAGATTTATACATTTTATTCTGGGGGACGCTGGGAGAGGATTAGCAGCTGCCTATTGAGTAAACGACACCACTGCTTGTTGCTGCATAACGAGCTTCGCAGTCCAACTAAACTGGGTCAGAACAGAACTCGTGTCTCTGTTGAACAGTTCGTCTTCTTTTAATCCTGTTGGTTCTTGTGTCAGCAAGTTGCTCCACTTTGAAAGGGATGATTACGCAAAAACAATCCATGTCCTAAATAATAGAGGGAGGGAAAATAAACTATAAATAAAACAACAAAAACTATGCGAGTCATTACCACCAGGTGGCGGTGTTGGCCTCAAATTAATAAAATGTATGAATACCAATAATTACGTCTTATGATTAAGAAAATGTAAAAAATGAACTAATTATCCACTTAGTCTCTCATTGTGAAGGTAAAATGAGCATAAAATGAAATATTTACCCTCATAAGTTCTTTTTATATTTGTCCATGCTTTAGTATTAATAGCTTTAAATACAGCCAGCTTCACAAGTGCAACCTTTTATTAGCTTTTTCTGTGTTAGAACAACTACTAGTTAATATAATAATTAATTTATATTTCTAACCCTATATGTCAACCAATTATAAGTTCCCAAAGGTAATTTTTGTGAAATACACAGCTAGTTATGTCTACAGGTTTCCCCACCTGAGCTTCTGTTTTCTGTAGCTCCTCTTGTCTGTTTCTTTGATTAATGCTCTCCGTACCCAGCCTGTCAGTGCAGCTGTGTCGTTGTTGTTGTTTTGGAACCTAACCCTAACTGAAACTTTCTCTCTGACCTTTATTTTGTTTTACTTTGTCTCCGTGATGCTGTTCTTCACAGAGCAGCTGGATTTACACCCATAATAAATCAAACACAGATGGACTCTTGTCTACTCATTACATGACGTCTGGTGTTGGTAAACGGGTCTATACACAAATTCACACCACCCTTTTAAGACGTCCAGTTGTAAAAAATAAATATTTCTTCTTCCACTTCGTAATTATGCACGACTAAAATTCTCTGAGGTTTGTGGTTGTAATGTGACAAATGAGGCAAAGTGTTTTTAAGGGTCTGCTCCTCTGTGTTTCTGCGCCTTTACATTTCGTGTAGGGCTGATTGACCATGACGAATGAATTACTGACATAATCGTCAACTAATTTAGTAATCGATTAATTTTTAACTAAAGTAAACAGACTCAAATAAAGGCCAAAAAACAACATATTTAGATCAATAATTAAGCCAGAGTTTATTTTGCAATTACAATAAAAAACAGTTGTATGTAAATATGTTCCTCCCAAATCTTCTCAAGTAGCATGGTTTTATCTTCATCCGGTTTAAATTAATCTATTCTTATTAAACGTGGGGAACCAATATGTAGTTTTATACTTTTACATTTCTTTTCTATTAGTTCATCCAGGGAAACTCCTATTAGTGTATAAATTGTGGAGTTCTTTTTGTTTTTATTTATGTAAAACACTTTGAATTGCCTTGTTGCTGAAAATGTGCTATATAAATAAAACTGCGCTACCTTACCATAGGAATGCTATGTTATCAAATTTTAGGCAATAAAATATTTATTTTCTCATGTGAAGTTGGAATTGAGTTTGAATTATTAGCATTTGTTGATGCATTTCTAATAGTGTACATAAAAATGCTCGTGTCTATAAAATATCGAATGTGGCAACTTCTTTGTGCGATTAATTGATGACTGAAATAATTGTTAGTAGCAGCCCTAATCTCGTGTTATTTTTGATCCACTTGCTTTGCATTCTACTGCTTTAAGTTGTTTTCTGTTTTCTGTTGGAGCACTGATGTAATATTTTGTGTCTTTATTGGAACGCAGGTATACTGATTCCGTTATGCGAGTCTGGGACGTGTACGCTGAGGGAAGCCATCATCATTGGAAGCATACTAACTAAATGCTCCATCCCGGTGCTGCACTCCAGGTAAGGCGTCTTCCTCACGTCCACACGCCGCTACTCACCGTCTCATTGTGTCGCATATCAGACCCACTGTCTCCGAAAACCGCTTTAGCGTGTGATCTGTGTAAGTCAATGCAAGGTCAGTGTTGCATAACTGGTTTAATCGTTCTCGTCTTTCAGCGCGGCAATGCTTAAGTTGGCAGAGATGGAGTACAACGGTGCCAACAGCATTTTCCTGCGTCTCCTGCTAGACAAGAAGTACGCCCTGCCTTTCCGTGTCCTAGATGCCTTGGTGGCCCACTTCCTGTCTTTCCGCAGTGAAAAACGTGTTCTTCCTGTGCTGTGGCACCAGAGCCTCCTGACCCTGGCCCAGCGCTGCAAGGCCGACCTGGCTGCTGAGCAGAAGGAAGCGCTGCTGGAGCTGCTCCGGATCCAAACACACCCTCAGATTTCAGCAGAGATTCGCAGAGAGCTGCAGAACTCAGAGTCGAGAGATGTTGAAGTTGGACTCCCTGCTATCGTTGATATGGACTGACGTAGTCTGCTTTTTCATGTTCCCTCAGCTTAAAAAGACTTTTGGCTGCCTTCATGTTGGACATTTTAAAATAACAAGACCTTGGTGGAATCTGGTCATGCTCCATCTTGTTATTGCAGATAAAACATGCTTATTAGTGGTGATGTAAGATGTTATTTCGTAACACAAATCTGAGCTTGAGAATAAAGAAGCTGTGGGAATTTAGAGTTGGGGTAAACTAGCAATATGGATTAAAAATCTAATGAATGATACAGATATGGTCATTGATTTTTATTTATTAACAAGCCACACAAGCTCAAGCTGGTTAAGACTTTATCCATCATTAAAGTCTTGGAATGATTGAATAATTAAAAATTCTATTTATTTCAGTCACTCCAGGAACATCTAATCTTTTGCTTGTAATCATTAAGTTTGTCACAATAAAGAAACAGCACAGACTTCTTTTGCATGAAAACCTTTGTACGATGTCAAACAGAACCTCTGATAATGGTTGCTGTTAAACACATCTCCTTTATCAAAAAATGAATAACCTTCCTAGTTAATGGTTATTTCAGTCGACTATTTTTATTGCTAAAACTTTAAACAGGAGTTTTTATAACACCATTTTTTTCCTGTGTTTTCTGTGTTGGTTAAGGTCAGGAAACATTTCAGTCTTTAGGTTTTCTTTCTGTAGCCCCATACTTTCGAATGATTTGTTCCCAGTTTCCTTCTATGTGGGATTTCTAAGGTCCCTGTATAGATTCTGTCATTTATTCCTTTTTCTACACAGTGAAAAATATCAACATTTCAAATGTTAAAACATGATGACAGCAACCTAAATAAATAAAACTCAAAAACAAAGAGCTATCAAAACTAAACACTGGTTTACACATAGGTACTAATCTTTGTCTTGCTACATAACCTAAGTGTGTCTGGACTAAAGCTCAGAATGTTGACCATTTTTCTGTAAGAAATAAAGTATATTTTGAGAGATTATTATTATTATTATTATTATTTACTAAAGTTGATATGATTTAATGATCTGAACAGCGAGCGGGGCAAAAAATAATATGGAAGAGTAGTAGGGCCACTGAAAAACAAAAATCTGAGAATAAAGGTCAGAGTTCTTAATTTAACCTCAGAATTTTGACTATTTTCAAATGTTAACTCTTTCTCAGTGGTTTTTATTCTTTTCCGTAAGAAACGGAAGAAATCTGTATGCGGAAGACCTTTAGCTCTTGTCACCATGGTAACAGCACACTTAGCAAAGCAGCTAATGCTAGCCCAAAAAAAGAGGAGTTTTTGAAGCTAGCTAACGTCTTTACGGGCAGCTGGATGCTACGTTTGTTATTCAAAAGCGTTTAGGGAAAGATGGAAAGCTTCAAATATGACTCGGGAGCAAAAACTGTCCACGAATCAGCGCAGGGTGTGGTTCTCAGAGCGGGTAAAGACCTCCCTGTTGTCGGCGACCTCAGGGTCCTGGACAACCTGCGGGCCCTGGAGGAGACCTGCCGGGTGTCCTCCTGCTTCTTCGGGAAAGTTCAGAAGGACATCCAGCCGCACATGAGGAGGATTGTCACCGTATGGATGTTAAAGGCATGTCAATTTTGTCTTAATTTTCATGAAATACATCCAGTATTTTTGATGTAATAATCACAAAAGCCACTGTTTGGTAGGTGTGTGAGGAGCAGCTGTGTGAAGAGGAGGTGTTTCCGCAGGCGGTGCACTACATGGACTCTTACCTGAGCCGTTTTCCTATCGAGAGGTCCAAGCTGCAGCTTTTAGGGGTGACTTGCATGTTCCTGGCCTCCAAAATGAGAGAAACTGTCCCCCTGACAGCTGACAAGCTTTCTATCTACACAGACAACTCTGTCTCGGTCTCAGATATTTTGGTAAATTTGTTATCTTTCTATTTTCTTCCTTTTTATTTATTTATTTTTTTTTACTTTGCTTCATATTTTGTGGAAAATATGTATTTTCCAGGATCCACAAAAGGTGAAGAGTCAAAAATAAGTAACAATAGTGCAAAAAAAAAGTCTCATAAATGCCATTTAAATGCATGCTTCTAAAATATATTTATTCTTTTTAGCAGACAGCCCTTTGCAAAAGTATTCACTTGGAATTTAACTTGATTTAACTAGAACCAGTTACTGATTTTTTTGAAGAAATTACAATTTTAATCTATCTCTTGAGCCAACTTGGTTCAGATTTATCTTTTTACTTGTCTCCAGAACTGATCTAATAAAAATAACAGCAGTCCTCCTGTAATCTATTTCCATGAAGGCCAGATTTGGCAAGTGGAGTTCCTGTAAAAAACATTCATCCTCTTGGATGATTTACGCTTTTTGTTGCTTTTACAAATAAATCATGATCAACTAAATTAGTGTTTTTGATATTAATAAATAAAATAATGCTTCTGTTGTATTGGTTGGGATGTACAAAAAACGTACATGATACACATTAACATATTACTTGAATTAAAGTGCCACCAATTTATTCAGATTCCGGTAACATACTTTCAGCCTGATAATGGTAGAAAAATACACTAAAATGAACCTTTGTATCTAAAACGGCCTACAAAGCCTACAAAGAACTGGGGAGTCTGGAAAAGTCTGGGAATCTGACCTGGAAAACTTGCAGGAACCCTGTGCAGAAAACTACTTTGTATATAATAAAGAACATTCCCAAACATTAAGAATATTCTCAACATGAATCATTAGTTGTACTAACTTTATGTTTAAAATGAAGCTCACATTGATACAAGACTTCAACAATGTTATAATTCTGAAATGTCAGAATAATTGTGAATCCATTTTAAACTATGCAAGGAATGTGCTTGCATAGTTAACAAAATGGTGTTAACTATGTTGATCATTTAAAGGTATTCATGCATACATGACTTCCTTGGTGTCAGCGTGGGGTGTTGGGGGCCAATAACCTGTGGCCTCATGTATGTGAATGACCTTGCAGTGGGATTATGATGGTAGGTTGATTTGGAGGAATGTGTATGTTGCAGCAGTGGGAGGTGGCGGTGGTTTCCAGGTTAGACTGGTGTCTGGCCTCTGTGATCCCCTCTGACTTCCTGGAGCCCATTCTTCACGCTCTCCCTTTCGTCCAGGCCCCTCACCTCCAGCACATCCGCCGACATGTTCACTCCTACATCGCTGTGGCAACAATGGGTGAGTTGCATAACATTGTTACCTACACATGAGGTGGTTGGCTCCAGCAAAGAGGAACAAAAGCTGATTGATTAGCTTGGTCACATATTTCATCTGGTCATAAAAGGAGTCTGTTTTACGTTTTGAGTGACTGCATAGCTGATAACTTTTATATAATCGAGCATTTTTTGCTCCTGTGAAATCTAACATCTTTGCAAGCAGTGAACAGTTGCAGTGGCAACAGCCATTGCCGTGGTCACGATGTGTCAGCACTTTGTTTTGGAGGCAGGGAGCTGAGTTTGTGTAATCCTGCATTGTCCCACCGTGAAAGACCTGAGTCCGACTATTCAGCTGGCTCAGTTCCCACGATTCTCCGTGATGGTGCCAGAGGCAGCAGGTCACAAGGATGCCTTCAGTTGGTTCTCTTTCAGACAGACTATAACGTTACAGCACTTTCAGTAAAAATAATTCCCGGATCTCAACTTTTTGCGGCATTCAAAAAGTTGTGACGTAAACACAGAATGGATTTGTCTCACGATTTCTCCTGCCTGCAGCAATTAGGATATTAGGTGGACAGGCTTTGGGGAAGGACTACCTCTCTCTATTTGTCTTTCAGGGTGTGACTCAGTGTTACCCTGCAGCCTTGAGTATCTCAGAAATCCTTACAATGATGAAATCTCTAGTAACTCACCCCCTTTTTGTGTCTCCAGATTGCAGGTTTTTGTCCTTCCTGCCCTCTACTCTTACATGTGCCTGCGTGAGCACCGCCATACAGAGGCTAAAGATGGTGGACAGCCACAGCTTAGAGTCAGTTATCACGTTTTTGGCCAGCCTGTTGGCTGCTGATCTGGTAAGGATAATATTTAACCAGTATTTGCTGCAATCGCTTTGACTTTGCCCGGTCAACAGTATGTTTTGGAGCTTTTTTCTCCCCAAACTTCCTTATCAACCTCAAGAAAAAAATTCTGTTTTTGCTTCTTTTTTTTTTTGGCCACACTTAAATGTTTCAGCCACTCTAACAAAATTAAACATCAGACAATCTGAGTAAATCTGAAAAGCAGTGCTCAAATGATTTTTTTTAAATTTGCTCAGACAAAAAGCTTAAACCACCTTATGTGAAAATTGAATTTCCTCCCCTGTTAAACCATTGTGATTAGCTACACTGTTTGGAAAGCTGAGCTCAACTAGACAGAGCTAGAGAATCAGCTGGTCCGTCCATCATTCTGTGATCCTAAGCATAAACAAACTTGGTAATTTGAAGAAAACACAACATGTCCACCTCTGCTCCTGAAGGCGTTTGAGTGGCTTAGTCAAAACCTGAACTTCAGGTACTTTGGTAAGACCTTAAGCAGGTCATTCATGCTATAAAACCCTACAACGAGACTTAATTACAACAACTCTCCAAAAAAGATGTGAAAAACTCATTGCCACTTATCCAAACACTTCCTGGCATTTCCTGTGCTGTAAATGCTGCCAGAGTTGTTCACCATTAAGTTTAAGAAACCTAAACCAGACAGTTCCAGGTTGGTGTGGATTCTCCTTGCTGTTCTGAAACATTTAAGTGTAGTAAAGAGCAAAAAATAAATAAATCTGCAAGGGCACAAATATATTTTTTCTCAGCAGTGTTGCTTGTTGTGTGTAATGAATTGATTCAGGCCTCTCTTTGATTCAAACTAATGGGATAAATTAACTGTTTGATGATTTTCCTATTGACCTTGATCTACTTGTATTGCTAAGAATGCTTAAACAGAGCATTTCCATACGTTAAGCTCTCCCATCACCTTAAATCCTGCCCCGTTTGTGATTCTTGACCCCGAACAGGATGCAGTCTTCTGCTGCTGCGAGCTGTTAGGAAGCGTGCTGGAGCTCAGTCTGCCTTCCTGTTTCCAGGAGGGAGTTGGCAGGAGAGAAGCACACAGTTCAGAGATCAGCTGCACTCCTGCAGACATCCAGGATGTAATCCTCACACCATCTCAGGAAATCAAGCTCAAACATTCCTCCCTGCCATGAACTGTTCAGATGATTTAAACTGCAGGCAGAAGACTAAATTTGGGAAGCAGCAAAATTATATCCACTCCCCAATTTCTAAATGTTATTTTCTCATTATGATGAAAACTTGTTGAATTTATATATTTAAAACAAAGATCTGTTCTAAAAAGTCTGATTGTGCTTGCAAATCGTCTGTGATACTAAGCTGCACTTCAACCTTGACAGCAATGTTTGCTTACTTTCTACCGTAGTGTTTGAGTTTCTTTGTACCTCATCTGCTGCTCTGATCAGTTGAAACTGATGTTGCTGCACGTTTCCAACAACTCTGACCTCAAATGAGTCCAATTTAAAAAATTAACTAAACATTCATGTGGATCACAAACATTAGTCAGCAAATTAGTTCTCTGTTGTTTTTTTATTTATTTCTTCATCCCAGGAATGTAGATAAAACAAACCAATGGCAAGCTGGAAACTTTGGCAAACACAGACATCATAAAATGCATGAGCAAAGCCTCCAAACCTTCACCTTCTCTGAGGAGAGGAAAAAGTCAAAATGCCCACATACACCTTACTCTATTCACTGAAAGTGCCTTTGTGAAGTTGCTCGTTTGCCCTATAACTTCCAGTTGAAACATTATTTCTTGTGCACATACGCAGGCGATCCGTTCCTGATGACCTACAATAAAACTACCATATTAATTTAAAGACAAAAGATTTTTTGAACAGCAGCATACACATGCAGCTTTGACATTAAAGTTAAAGGTCATAAAAATTGCTCTACCATGCCTAACTTAATACCAATAGGAATTAGGCAACTTGTGTGTATTGTATACATTTTTAACCAAACAATAACATCTTTCTTGCTTAAAAAAAAAAAACAAAACAAAAACAGTAGACGATATTATCCAGAGCCAAACTGATATGCGAGAATTTTTAGGCTTAAATAAAAATATCATCTGCATATATGGTTATTCATTCCAAGTTTTACCCTGATACAAGTCAAGATATTCCAACAGCTCACACTCTGTGCCCAATCCTTACGTAGATATGCAGAGACAAACAAGCACGTGTTTCTATTCTTGTGCGAGAAACAAAGCCTTGGTGCGCCTCGCCCTCTCTTAGAACCTGCCACATGCATGCAAATAGTCAGAAGCCACCTGTTTATGCATTAGTGCAAGGCAAAAGCAGGTTTGACTGGTCACACCTGTTGAACCCTGTATTATTTTTTTTTTCAAGTCATTATCCAAACAAGTAATTTCAGGGAAAACATGAAAAGAAACAAAACACTGAGATTACATTTCACTTACAGGCAAACATAATCTTGGCACTTCCTGTTTTACAAAACACACCAACATCCGAGTAGATTTACTCTTTGGTTTACAAAATATCAGTTTGCACACAATAAAAGCCATAACAGCAGAAAAGTAATCCTAACATTTAACCTACATACTGATCACAAAACTGAAATTTAAATGGGTCAAAACAGGGTTAATGTACACCAACGGAAATAAAAAACTTTGTAAATCAAAAGGTCATAAATGGTCATAAATGTGAAAAGTAGGCCAACGTGAAACACTGGTTATAAAGAGACAATTAAAAGAGAAAGTTGTCCAGTCGACTGCTGTACTTGAAATATCTTTTCCAAACTATTGTTTTGGTTAAAATGTGAGACAAATGAAGAGACACTCTGAACGTTACAGCTCTGAAAGTTTGAGCTTTAGCTCTCATCTCCCAAAAATCTTTGACGTTTAACTGATCCTTAGCTCTGCTTAGTTTAAATACAATTAAAATCAGTCTAATTTTATAGATTAAATCCCAGTTATGAATCACCTAAAACATATTCAGATCTTTATACGCTTTTCCTCCCGTTTTGGTTCGGTGTAATTCTTCAAGTTTTCCAGAAGCCCCATCTTGGCCATCATGTCCTCGGTAGCCGGATCCTTAGCTTGCTGCAGATCCCCGTTTAGCCATGGCCTGTTTGTAAGTTTCTGTCACATTATCGCAGTCACTGATTGAGAAGGCACTGTCGGCCACTCCGGACCTGTAGCAGTCCCACGGTTTCAGCACTCTGTCCCCCAGAACCCTGTCCTCAGCTATGTCCAACAGATTGTCTGCGGAGACGCTGCCTCTCATGCTGGTTTTGGCCGGTTTGTCGGATTGTGTCGGGGGTCTCACGTGGTCCGGCAGGTCCAGCTGATCAAAGGACTCCGAGGACAGAATGCTGTCTTCGCTGATGGCTCCGCTTGGTCTGGACCTGGTGGCTCCTATTGGTAAAGAAGCTGCCAGCTGATCCAGAGAGCCAAACTCTTGGAGCCCACCGGAAGAGAATTTTCCATTTCGCTTGAGGATACCTTTTCTACAGGTTGGAGCTGAAGGACAGTCTTTAGTTTGTGGAACCCAGCCAGAGTCACTGTGTTCAGGTGAAGAAGAATAATAACCCGACTCTTTCTCTGCGGGTTTCTTGAGAATGCCTTTACGTGGCAGCGCTGCAGGAGAAGTGACGTGAGAAATGTTCTGGGAATTCACCACACCCACATTCGGGCTTTCATGCATTGCCTTCTGTTTTGCGCTATTGCGCCTCTTTAGAATACCCTTACAGGGCCGGGAGTCTGTGATTGTTTCATTAACCGTCTGCGAGACGTTATTCTCCTTTTGGGACCTTCGTAGAGAGCGCTGCCGGACTATTTCACCTCCGCCAACCTGCGAGCGGAGCAGGCAGCGCATCTTGGAGCCGTTCTCCAGTAAAGGCCTGGATGTACGCCGCAGCCAGCTAGCAACAGTGGTCAGCCCAGTGGGATTTGATGAAGACACCAGTGAACTGGTTTGCTCTGTCAAACTGTTTTTCCTCTCACAGAGCAGCGGCTGCTGGTAGCCCCAGTTCAGCCACCAATGTCCCGCAACCTCCTCAATTGTGGCTCTGCGCTCGGGATTCACCATGAGCATCCAACGAATGAGTCCACAAGCATCTGTGAGAGCAAAAGAAGGAAAACGTTATAGATCTAGTGCTCAAGTTTGGCTTAGAAATAAGATTACACATCCAAATGAAGAGCATCAGATGTACCAGATGGTTTGTTTGGTTTCCGGTAGCTCCCTGTGCTAATCTGCTGCACCAGGATTTTGTGGTTGAGCCCATCAAATGGCATGGTGCCATGAACCAATGTGTACAACAGCACGCCAAGGGACCAGGTGTCGACCTCAGGCCCACGGTACGGCCATCCGTTGACGATCTCTGGGGACGCGTATAAAGGGCTGCCACAGAAGGTCTGAAGGTATTCATCTCTGTGGTAGAGGTTGGACAACCCAAAATCTGCAATCTGAAAAGGTAAGAAGTCAAAAGATTACCTTCATATCTCCTGGTGTAGTAGATTACCATTTCATTTTCCATTACTACAGACACTATTTAGTGAAGATAATTATTCTGTCTTTAAATAATGGTCTGTACAGCGAGTCTAAAGAATACACGCAACATTTAGTAAAGTGACAAGCATTATTAATCATTTTCCTCATTTAATGTGACATACATTCTGTACAATTCATTTGAAAAACAAATATTTGGGGAAAACGTGTACAAAAACAAGTAGGTAACCTGGTTGTATAAGTGTGTAAATCTCAGATTTTAATGGCATCTCCACGGCTCGCTTCAAGTGTCGTATTCAGTTTTCCGCTCTATATACTCTATTCCAAAACTTTAATTTCCTTCAGGTGAAGCATTTCATTGTTGATTGTGATGTTTAGTCAGACTCACAGTGACTCAAGGTAGACTCACATCTACCTTGATGGAAACCCATGTTTTGCTTTGGGTATGCTGCACAAACATATTTTGTGGAAATGTGGCAAAATATATATATATATATATATTTTTAAAAAAAAAAAAAAAAAAAAAAAAGGTTCTTTCTACTGCAACCCTACTTGTAAAACAAAGAAATAGTACTGAAGGCTGCAGCGCCTTCAGCCATCCTGGGCAGCCAGATTCACACTAATTGTTGGGAGGAGTACATTCAAGAGCTGAATTTAAATCACACGGTCTATAAAGCAAAGGGTTTATACACTTATGCAGCCAGCTACTCCTCATTTTTCATTTTCAACATTTCCCCCTCACTGGTTTGTTTGATTTTCAGTCGAATTGTAGACTACTTCTTGGTAATTTGGCAAATATCCAATTTTAATAGCCACTGTAAATAAGAAAAAAAGTAATTATGAAAGGTGCATTTTATTTTTGATGCATTTTATTGGTATAACATAATCTGAGAAAGAAAAATGCTGGTAAAATATTCCCAACTTTCACGAGTTGTTGCGTGTGAATAAAACAGGGTGTAAACCTAGCATGCATACCTTCACATTGCCGTTGCCATCTAGTAAAATATTCTCCAGTTTCAGGTCCCTGTGTACTATTCCATTCTAGGAGGAAATAAAAAGTTGTTAAAAAATGTGACATAATTGTAGCATAAAATTCAGCTTCACTCTCATTATTGTACATTAGTTAACATTAAAATGTCCACATTATGCAAAAGTGTTATTTCTTTCTTTTTCAAACTGAACATTTTCTTCAAGTATGTCAGCTATGCGTCTTTGTGCTTCGCTCTGCAGGGGGGAATACCTTTCATTCAAATTAGTTTCCCTTGGAGTAAAAAAAAAACAAAAAAAAAAACATCACCAAGCTGCGTTTCACAATCAGTATTATAATGCATTCTAGAGTTTTGTTGTATTTGTTTATATCCAAGATGCATCTAGGTAAAAACTAATAGTTTGTGCTAACGTTGTAGGTAATAAAACACGCGGCAATGACCTTTCACGTTATGCAAGCACGGAAGATTAAATATTTAACAAGAGATGAGTGCCCCATAAAAGTAAAATAAGACAGATGGCTGACGTCGTCTACGATAAGCAATTAGCAGTAAGTTTCATCCCAGCAAACATTTATGAAGGTAGTCCAAAGTGCAGACTGTTCACCCTGACATGTAGTAAGCCCTAAATGTCACTGTGCTGGACTGGGCCGTAGAAACAACCAACTCTTGTGTGTTTGTCAGGGAGGGGTTGTGTCCATTCACACCCTCATTAAACTGTTAGTGTGTGTGTGTGTGTGTTCTGGAAGAGCTGGCCTCTAGCCCCAACGGTAGCTCTGCTCATTTCTGTCTCATTGTTCTCACAGCCTCCCTGTTCAGAGCTGCCTGGTGACGGGAAATATCGCCCCTTATGTAACATTTTTAGGTGGAAAATTTATAACCCGTTTCTATGGTGTTTGAATTATGATTTTATGGGCGAAACATTCTTACCTGATGGCAGTAGTGCACAGCAGATACGATTTGCCTGAAGAAGTGCCTAGCTTCGTGTTCGGAGAGGTTTTTCTTGTCGCAGATGTAGTCGTACAGATCCCCCTGGCTGGCATACTCCATCACTATCACAATTTTGTCCTTGTTCTCGAAAACTACGAAAGCAGAAAGCAGCCTTTGCTTAAATATTTACAACACTAAGACGCTGTGTTACAGGTTTCTATAACAAG